ATATATATATATATATATATATATATATATATATGTGTGTGTGTGTGTGTGTCTAAATCCCATTTATCTTAGATATCAAATATATATTTTTAAAATAATAAACAGTAATACCCGTATGATATTTGACTGTGCTAACATTGCGATAACCAGATATTTTTTTTTTAAAATCTAAATTACGTAACGGTCGGTTTATAATCCGCACCTGAAGATTGCGTTGTGCATGAAACTCCAAGTCGTGAAGGAATATATATATATATATATATACACACAGAGAAAAGAGAAAAAAACTGCAAAAGATTTTTCTTATAATGTGAACTTTTTTATATACTTTATTCTATATATTTTGCTACACGAGTTTCGGGTCTTGTGACTTTCATCAGGACAAAAATGGTTATTTCCACATATTATTTAAAAGAATGATTTTTTTGTTAAATCTTTTAACTATTGTCTTTTGTATGTAAGTAGTAGCCATCGGAATCCTTCTAGGACTGTCCGAAAAATGTTCCTTTCCTTGAGGGGTAATAAAACAATTAACTTTGGTTAGAGAAAGGAAAAGAAAGGAGGATGTTTTTGTTCTTATCTTCTTATCAGCCCGTGTACTTTTTCATTCCTTACTCTATTCTTGTGTATTGTGTGTACACATAAACCGATAAAATCAAACACCTCTCAGAGTTTAAATACATAGCATTCTCTAAATGCTTGATACATAGACAATGTTATATTTGGAAAATGATTTTATACACAACTAGTACGCATACAAAAACTGTAGAAGGTTGTCATTGAATTTTAATGGTCTCTATCCAAAAGTAAAGGGGCACAAGATGACGTGCATCGACTAGAATCCTTCGCGATAAATAGCTGTCAAATTTTGCAGGAAGCATGAAAGAAGCGTTAGAGAGCAACAGAAACACCTACATTGGTGTTTGCGGACTTTCCCAGTCCCATCTGTACAAAGACGTTCGTCTCTCAGATTAGTTAGTACAGTCACTTAACGGACTAGAACAAGAAACAGAAATGGCTCAACACAGGGTCACCATCTCAGTCGAGATAGACTGCCTACCAAGAAGATAGTAATTTTTGATGAAAATCATTTTACTATGAGAGAAAATCGTGGTGAGATCCAGGACAACGCTCATTCATTTCAATCTGGACGGAAAAAAGAAGTTTTTTTTTTACTGAATGTTTGGTAATATTCAAAAGGAATTCTTTCTTACGAATTGCTGGAAGTTAGACCAATTTTTACTGCAAAATGCTACAGTGAAAAAGGGTTCATGCAATCTTTTTTGTCGTTGAGAAGGTAGCACATTTGGTTCGTGTGAGGGTGTTCGCTGATAAAATCGCACACGTTAATGAATGCATCACGAATGGCTTCCTCTCGGTAGGCTTCTGCAGTTAGTGGTTTGTAACTGAAGTCTTTAGACAACTTGCACAGTGCCTGAAGATATTGGTCAATTGATTCATCAGGTTTTAAGCGACGATTTGTAAGGAGGTGACGCACAAAAATCGCACAGACTTCTGGTCAATTTTTAAAATGAAGTGTCTACCAATTAGGAAGTGACTCCATTTATAAACAGCACCAATTGTCGCAAGAGCCTCTTTCTCTACCGGTGCATATTTTAACTCATTGTCTTGAAGTGATCTTGAATGAAAGGCAACTGGTCGATTGTCCTGACTGAGTATTGCTGACACAGAGTTGTGTGATGCATAAGTTTCTACGACAATATAAGATTATCACTGATTGCAGTCAGGCTGGCATCTATCCAGTTAGTTTTTAGTGCCAGGAAGATTAACAACCCCCCACCCCACCTTGATAGTGGAAAAGTGTGGGTTGATTTTTTTTTTTTGATTTTGTCAGAAACTTTCTTTATCCACCTTGCATAATATGCAAAAATTCCAGTGATACGTTTTAAGGACTTCGTGTTTTGTGGGGAGCAGGGTAGTTTCATTAATGCTATAAATCCGACATCTCAAGTGATCAATTGTCTGGGCAGATTATTTGCAGTTCTCTTCATTGTATGTCCAGTTTGGCATCTTTTTGGAAATGTTAAAGGTTGACATCATGTTTTTCCAAAGTGGTGCCACAGATTATTAGATTGTCAACAAACGGCATATGTGTCCTGTAGATCATGATTCCTGATGAATTCGTCCATCTTTTTTGGAAACGAACCGTCCCATTAGTCACACTAAACGGCATCCTGGTAAAGTGGTGGAGCTGACCCCCAGATTGGAAAGTTGTATAAGGCTTGTCATTAGGATGCAGTGGGTTTTGGTGATATGCCCTTTTTAAATCTATTGTGCTGAAGTACTTGTACTAGGCTAGTTGGTTGACAGTACTTTCAATGTTGGGCATTGGGTATGCATCTAGCAGTGTATATTTGTTGACTGTCTGGGAATAGTCAATGACCATTCTCTTTCTATAGTCTCCGTCATTCACAACTAATGATTGTGCCCTCCATAGTGATAGGCTTTGTTCAATGATTCCTTTTTTTAGTAAACGTTGCATCTCTGAATCAATGAAGTATTGGTCTGGTTTTGAAAATTTTTCGTGGTTTGGTTGCAATGGATTTGCAATTTGTAGATAAATTAGCGAATAGGGTTGGAGTGTTAACATTAAGAGTTGTAAGGGCGCAAAAGGTTAATGTTGGTTTCCTGCCACAATACTTGATGACAATACTTTCATGCTGCTCTTGAAAATCAGTTCCAAGGATTATATCAATACACAAATCACTAATTACATTTAGATGAACATTTGTGTACTCACGTCTAAGAAGGTTGAGGTCCACAATACAATATCCTGCAATTTCTGTGATCTGTGTTCCTGCAGCCATGCGGATTGATCCCGAGCTCGGGTATTCTTTCAATTTAAGCCTTTTGGCAACATTTTCGTTTAATAAGCTTCTGTCAGTGCTTCTACTGTCAATTAGGACTTTCAGTTTTTGTCCTTTCATGAGTACATTAGTGGATACTTTAAATCCAGATTCAGTAGCAGAAGAATAAATACTTGAAAATGAGGGGCTGTTAGTGATCGACATTGTGTGGACTGTGTTGACAATTGCAGTTGACTGAGTACTAGACTTTCTTGAGTGGCACATTTGTGCAAAGTGTCCGGTTTTGGAACACTTATGTCTGCTCACTTGCCTTGTAGGACATTTGCTTCGTGAATGACGTCGATTTCCACAAAACAAACATTGTGATTTTCTGGCGGCTAATGTGGTTTCTGCAGATGTTTTTCTTCTTTGGCAGCTGTAGTCATGGTCGTTGTGGATGGATTCTGCTTGATAACTACATCAGCTTTTTTTACGTGAAAGGTCAAGAAAACGAGCCTGGCTATAAGCATTCTGCAAGTCCAACGTTCTATTCTCCAGGAGTCTCTGTCGAATAAGATTAGAGTCCAGACGAATGGCTTCCTCTCGGTAGGCTTCTGCAGTTACTGATTTGTAACTGAAGTCTTTAGACAACTTGCACAGTGCCTGGAGAAAATGGTCAATTGATTCATCAGGTTTTAGGCGACGACTTGTGAGAAGGTGACGCACAAAAATCACATTCGTTAGCCTAACATAAATATTTTCTAGTGTTTGTATGGCTTCGTCGTATATGTTTCAGCTTTTTATATAGACATACACTGTCCGGTGACACTGAATTTATCCAACGTTACACCAAGTGTCTGAATACCGTGCAGATAGTTGCCAAACGTCCGGTACCAAAACATTCACTCTTTAGCAGCAATTGGTGAATTGGGATCCTGACTGAATTTTTACAGTTTTATTACTTTGTCCATTTTGAATAATTTTTGAATTGAATAAATTGTGGTGAAAGATGATACTGAAGAAAATACCTTTGGGCAATTAAGGTTTTATTCAACTTAAAAAGACACACAAGGTGTAAACAAAGATGGCGATTTTAGAATTCTACTATGGAGGAGAATAATCCCTTAATAGGGGCAGATAACTATAATAACGATATTATTTTATCACACAAAGATAATTAACCATTTCAGTGAATAATTTGTTTGTAGAGCGGCTCGGCCTAACATGCGGTAAATCCTAAATCAAAACCCAAATCCTCGACGCACAATAATTCACACTAATTCAACTGGATAGTTCCACTAAATAGTCACTCAATAATCACTGCAGTCAATAGCCTGACACCACTATTTATACACCTGGCAGAAAACATATATTCATAAATCCAGAGTGTCACGCTCGAACCTCGATATCGGTAGATATTCATTTTCTTCCTATATGACAATAATGTTTCTCTTTTACTTATTCATTCACACTCAGTAAGCCCTTGTGTCTTAGTGGTTTTACTGCCTTGCTTGGGATGTAATGATATATATATATATATATATATATATATATATATATATATATATATATATATATATATATATTTTGTTAAATATAACAGACAATGAATGTCTATTATTTTTAATCATGAGCTGTTCGAAACTTCGTATAGTTGCTTTAATTTCGGGAGAAAATAAAGACAAAAATTGTTCAACATTTGGATATTTTTTTATTAAGCTGTTCCTTGATATAAACTTTCGTCTCACATGAGCCATTTTCAGAGTGGTTATACGGACATTTAAGCAAAGATATTGACCATCAAAGATGATATTCTGTTATGTTGACATAGAAGATTGCTATGCGACGATACCGGTCGCGGAATACCACACCGTATATATCTATATATCTCATGTTGAGCACTCTTTTCCTACACACATGAGAGGCAGAGACAGAGTTAAAAGGATTTTATAAGTATTAAACCCTGATAAATATATTAGCTACTCAAATCATATATAATCTTGCATGTTTAAATATATAAATAAACGTAAAGAAATAATTTCGTATTCATGTAAATGGGAAGAGATAGAAAGTGACACATGCACTTTTCGATGTACGTACGGATATATGAAAGTGTCTATCTTTTCATAAAGAACATTCTTAAAATCAATATTCCCAATTAATTTCAGGAAGTTTTGCAAATAACAGAATAAAATGGCCATTTTTAGATCTTTTGAGGAAGAATCGAACATTACATCAGTTCACATCTCTCCTTTACTCACCTTCCTCCCCCTACCGCCATCGTCTCTTCTCCTTTACTCACCTTCCTCCCCCTACCGCCATCGCGTCTTCTCCTTTACTCACCTTCCTCCCCCTACCGCCATTGTCTCTTCTCCTTTACTCACCTTCCTCTCTCTATCGTCACCGTCCCTTCTCCTTTACTCACCTTCCTCCCCCTACCGCCATCGTCGCTTCTCCTTTACTCACCTTCCTCTCCCTACCGCCATTGTTCCTTCTCCTTTACTCACCTTCCTCTATGGTCATCGTCCCTTCTCCTTTACTCACCTTCCTCCCTCTACCGCCATTGTCCCTTCTCCTTTACTCACCTTCCTCTCTCTACCGCCATCATCCTTTCTCTTTTTCTTACCATCCTCCATCTACCACCATCATCCCTTCTCCTTTTCTCATCTTTCTCTCTCCACCACCATCATCATTTCTCTTTTCCTCACCTTTCTCTCTCTACTACCATCACCCTTTCCTCTTTCGCCTGTTTTAAAACATGGTCATCTCTTGTTTCCCTTTTCTTTTATTTTTGTTTCCTTCTTCCCTTAAACTTTGTTTCCCACTTCCGTTTAATGTTTTCCATTTCTCTCTCCCCCACTCTCTCTCTCTCTCACACACACACACATACACATGCATACACACGCACGCGCATGCACACACCCTCTGTCTTTCTCTCTGGATCATCATTTTTCCTTCAAATATCCAATATTTTCTTCATATCAAAATATATAAAAAACACAAATGATTGAACTAAATTAAAAATTAATCGATTTATCAATTTTTTCACTCTTGTTTTCGTTTATATTTTGTTTATTGTGTTGTTTTTTTTGTTTTTTGTTTTTTTGTCTCACACAGAAGGCAGAGAATATATAGCATCTGGTTTTTCTTTTCAGAAATGAGGGGGATTTGTCTCTTTCAATACAATGCTGTTGAATATACGTGCACAGAATACAATATCAGAGAGATAATAATAATAATAATAATAATAATAATAATATCCGTTTCAACATTTTTAATTGGACCATAGCTGACATTAAACGAATGGATATCAAACTAAAAAGCTTCCACTGCCACCGCATGCATCATCCTAAGGCTGATGTTGCTCGTCTGCATGTGCCCAGATCCGAAAGAGGCATAGGATTAGTTCAACTAGAACTGTCTTTTCAAATTCACAACAAAACCGGGACCTACGCTGTTTCTTTTCTTCATCAATGATCTCCCTGATGTCTTGAGTTTGAAACAAGGTATTTATGCAGATGACACTAACATTTACTCCTGTTTCAGTAGCAAATCCGACAGATCTAACAAAGTAAACCTTGCAACGGCTCTTGAAAAGGCCTCCAATCAGTGATTAACTGGGGCAAGAAATGTCTGGTAAATTTTAATGCCTCTCAAAGAGGACTAATTTAATATATATATATATATATATATATATATATATATATATATATATATATATATATATATATATATTAAATAAAAGCTATATATATCACGTTACATCTCTCTAACCATAACTCAATTAGATCTTATTTAAATACGCGTATAAGCATACCAAACTCTATCCAGAACATACTCATTGACAGTACAAATATAATAGCCTCATCCACATATAAAAAAGGATAAAAATAATGAAAGCATTATTAAGAAAAAAAGCCAACACTAAATAATATCAACTATGAACACGGCCACAAATGTGCTGACCGTGTTTGTAAGATAAAAATTCCTATAACTCTAGATACATACAATTGTTGACAGAATTATTCTCCCCCACAGAATGCTTGCATATTTTCTGAGAAAATGCGAATATTCAAAAGTACATACTGAATTTACCATAAATAGTTGATTCCTTACACACACACACACACACACACACACACACATATATATATATATATAGTTTTGAATATATAGTTTTGAATTATTCGTGAAATTTTTAGAAGTTTCGATTTATTATACTCATAGTTATGGATTTTTGATAAAAATTGGTGAAGTTCAAAATTATTCACCGCCTTATGGAAATTATGAAATAATATTGCTGTATGGAAATTGTAATATTAGTTTTTTTTTTTTTAATTTGACATATAATACAAACACCCTTTGAAAATGAAATAGGATTGAGCTGATTCTATAGCATTCCAAAAGCTAATTGTGACGGTTAAAGGCCCAGTGTCGGATCCTTTGGTTAAGCGCCAAACGTCGCTCCTCCTGGTCGCTCCTCCTGGGTCCAAGCGTGCCGCTCCAACCCTTTGGTCAGATGATCACCAGCCTCGCCTTTCCCGACTCGCTTCCCAATACCTGGTCACTAAAGCAACTATACCGATCTCCGGTCTGTCTACCCACGCTGTGTTTAGATCTTATCAGCCGATAAAGTTGAGTCCGACGGGGTGAAAACACAAATAAAATAAAAACTCACGACACCAAACAAAATTGCTGATAAAAAGGGTAACAACCTTTTATATCTTAAAGTCCGTTACATAAAAACAAAAGATTTCCCGACCCGCTCTGTGGACTATAATTCTATCACACAATAGAAAAATGTCGAATTACCTACTTTCTAGAATCATGTATGTATGTCGGAGTGTGGTTCAGTTCGACACTGGGGCTAATTTCTATCGATCATTCGCAGTTGATTCTTCTCTCCGACTTGAGTTGTATTTCTTCTTCTTCGTCTGCTTGGGCTGGTAGTTTTCCTGTTTCAACTTGGTGGAAGATTTCTTGTTCAACTTAGCCGCAACTCTCTGTCGTCTGAGGTGGTCTCTTCTCACTGCCGTCCGGAGCTGAACTTTAACTTCTCATCGACTTTCGGCTTGTCTGCAGCTCCAATTCTTCTCAGGCTTTCAGGCAATCTTCTTCTTCATCTACTTGGGCTGGAAGCTCTTCTTGTCTGAGGGTTCTTTTCTCGCTGCCGTCCGGGATGAACTTTAACTTCTCATCGACTTTCGGCTTCTGCAGCTCAATTCTTCTCAGGCTTTCAGGCAATCTTCTTCTTCATCTAAAGTTCTCCTGTCTTCGACTTGGGCTGGAAGGATTTCTTGTCTGAGGATTCTTCTGCCCGCAAAGGGGCGAGTGAATCGGGCCTGATGGCCGCGTTCAGGCTCTATCCCTGCCCGCGGTCCAACTCTCAACTGCAACTCCAACTCAACTGATTTCTGTCGACTGGGGTCCTGCTTATATTGACGCCGCAACAAACTGGGGTGGGTCTGTCGGCGTCAGGGTTTTCTCGATAATTCCAAAACTGCATTAATTCTGTCTTCTCCATTATCGCTATTGTTTCACCCCTACTTCCTCGAGTACCTTTGGTGGGGCGGCGCAATCTCTCTTTGTCTCTCGTATGTCAGGTGACCGCTTTTCAACCAATCGTTCCTGATCGAATTTCTTTCCCTTTTCTTCCGCAGGTCACGTGATCGTATTCGACCAATTGTTATTGATCAAACATTTCTTTCCCTTTTCTTCCGCAGGTCCGTGATCGTATTCGACCAATTGTTATTGATCGAACATCCTCTCCCCTCTGTTTGCGGGCGTGGTTACATCGTTCTTGTTTAAAAAAAAAAAACAAAATCCAATTTTGCCCTTTTTGCACGTACGCAAAATGACAATCTTTGGCTTTCTCTCACCTGGACTTTGTCAAACAGCCCGCTGCTAATTAGTCTTGACTTTAGAAAAGGATCTTTTCCGCCTTCTTGGCGCCCTCTGTGAGCCAAAAAAAATTGTCCCTCTTTTTTACCTCTTTGTTTTACCTGATAGTCGAAAATCTTAATTATCTACATTGAAATGTCTCTACTTTATTAACGTGGGTGTCAATTCTTAACAGGTCTGTATATCGTTCCACCGGTCTCCCCTCAACCCAAAAGACACTTTTCTCTGATTAAAATTGTTTCATTGTTCCCCAAAATTTCTCTTTATCCAAATTGATAAGGTGTCTTTCCATGCAAAAGTAGGCTAGGTGCTCTGACCGTTCTTACCAAAATGACTTTCGAAAATCGGCCAAGACGCTGACCTAAATCTCTTTCTGACTCCTATCTCCACCCTCAATTGGGTCATGCGTCATACATTTCTCTTTCTTTTTCCTTTTCTTCCTTTTCCTTTCCTTTTCCTTTTCTTTTTCCTTCTTCCATTAGGATCGTCTAGTACACTCTTAGTGAATTATTTTCAACTCAGTTATTTTCCGTTTAAAAAAAAAATAACAACCTGTTTAGTAACCGAGTAAGAAAAAAAAATAAATCATATTTCTATGAATATTTCTAATAATGCAAGGTGCCACATAATGAAATAAATAATATGTGAGTGCCATGTACGCAATAACTCATTCGTAGTGTAACCATAGCGAAAATTGTTGAACTCGACAAGAAGCTCCTAATGAAGATAGTTGATGCGTACAAACAAGATGATGGATATACAATACTTTCCAAGCGTTTAAATTTTCCTAGATCGACAATTCGTAACATTATCAAGAAATACAACAGGACTCATTGTGTTGAGAATAAATTAAGGACTGACAGAAAATGGTTAATTTCTGAGAGAATGGAAAGGAAAATCGTTAGAGATGTTTCGAAGAGTCCTCATTTAATAATAAAAGTCATTGTCATTGATGTAAAGGCATCAGGATTGAAGGTATCGAAGAATACAGTCACAAGAAGTTTTAATCGAGCAGGGCTTCGAGTTTGTCACCCAAGAAAAACTCCTTTACTTAAGGCTAAACACCTAACATGCAGATTAGGACATGGGAGTAAATATTGGAACTCTGTTTTATGGTCAGATGAAACCAAACTAGAATTATTTTGTCACATAAACTCCTGTTATGTATAGAGAAAAGTGAATGAAACGCAACGAAAAAATACCCTCTTTATAATTAAGCACGGTGGTGAGAGCATTCTGCTATGGGGATGTTTTGTGGCTTCTGGACCGGGATAACCAGTGAGAGTATGGGGTATCATTGATAAAGAGCAGAATTTGGCTATTGTTAACGATAATATAGAACAAAGTACACAAAAGCTGTCTTTAGGACGTCACTGGATCTTCCAACATGAAAACGACCAGAAACACACAACACAAATTTTTACAAAATACTTAGATGACAGCAAAATTAAGGTGTTGGCATAACACATGTAAAGTCCTGGCCTAAACCCCCATTGAAAATCTATGGGCATATTTGAAGAAAAATGTAGAGAAAAAAGTCCTTCAAATTTGGAGGAACTAGAAGATATTGCCAAGGAAGTATGGAGCAAAATACCTATCAGTTTTGTAGTGATCTTGTAAGGAACTATCAAAAATGATTAAAGGCAATAATCAACAATAAAGGTTACACAATCGATTATTGAGGCAAGAAGGCCAATAATTTTATCCTATGTTAAATGGTTTTTGGTGATTTTTTGTATTATTTTTTGACATTATGTTGTAACCTAAAAAAGGTTACTGAATGAGGAATAACCAAAACGGAGGTTGGAAATGAAATGGCAATCTTTATAACATCAACAAAATACAATACTCGCCAGCGGCGTGAAGTAGGTAAACCACTGCTAGTGATGAACTACTTATACAGAATTTTG